TGTATGTATGTATGTATTTTTGTATGGATGTGGTGCAGTGGTGCCCCTGTAGGTGGGCTTCGGGTTCAGGAAGCAAATTCCCCGTTACGTGTGGGGGTGGGTGGCTCTGGCTTCGGCCCCATCCCTGTGTCGATATGGGTGGGCTTGTTCTTCGGCGGTTCTGGCTTTAGTCTTTCCCTTTCTGTGGATGTGGATGGATTCGTTCTTCCTTGGATTGTGTCCCTCCACCTGCGTGCATCCCTCTCTCGCCAAGCCCTCCTGCACCAGACCATAATGGAAGGTCGGGGAGGGCGGCCACGGTACACACGCATGTGGGCGCACCCCTAGTCGCCCGAATTCCAACCAAGGAAGCAGCACAGGCCCCTGATCAAGATTGAAAATCTTTGGGCAGCATCTTCAATCCAGGTCACCAGTAGTGGCCCTAGTTTAGACTTGTGCACTGAGTACATGAACAACGCGTGTCCATTCCCTGCAGTGAAGCTTCGAAGACCTGAACGGACCGGCAGAGTACCATTCGCTGTCGCCATTCCTGTGGCAGCGAACACACTTGCCGCACTTTGCTGAAGTAGCTGCCTCGGAACTCAGAGTTGATTTCGAATTTTGTGGGTTCAAGCCGTTGTGTTGGTTGTTACTGGTCCTGTTGCTTGCTCTCCACTGGCTGCAGGCCGGGAAACATGAAACTCGGCCGTTTCAACAGAAACCGCGAAGAAACATCGTTTCCGCACAGCATTGGCTTTAGTTCGAGCCCTCCCAACGAAGAGCTCGCTTGAGCCAGAAACCTAAGCCCCTGCACAATAACTACTCCCAGACTTTTACCTCGAGCCCTCCATGACATCATGATGTGAACCACTTTTTCGCGTGGATATGCACATGGATTGACCGCCGTAGGCAGAGCCAGTCCTTATATATGCACCTGTGAGACACACAGCGGGTGCACCTTGACATGTTTTTTTGTGCAAAGCTGCGTTGGCACCAATCATCTTCATTTCCTTCTTCCTAGACCCTAGACGCTGAGGTACACCTTTTTGCAGTTCGACCCACCTCCAGTGCAGAAGGTAGAGCCCTTTTATGGTTGCGCTTGTCCAGTTTGAGGAAGGCACCTTGGTGGTGTTCTGTCCTTGTGCAGGAGATCCCTGCCGAGGGAGTGAAGCGCACTCCGGACTACTTCCTTTGAGTCTGAGCACAGCCTGCAGATCAGAAGGACTGAGACAGTTGGGAAAAGAGACTGCCGCGCAGCGTGATTGACACGCGGCATGTGCTTTTTGTCATTAGCTTTTGGCACGGGGGGTGATCATGGGTGATATGGGTGATCCATAATTATTGGGTTTCCATTGCATCACTGTGAGCTTTGAGTCAATCCGGCGACGAGGTCACAACGCAAGGCTTCGTCGACTTGGGCAAGCTTGCAGCCTTCCTACATCAGGACATGAGAGGGTACATGGTTTGGTGAACTCTCAGTTGTGGCAGATCATAGGAGCCAGCAGTTCCGCCACCGCCTGGGGGTGGCGTGCCCTTCGAGTTCAAAGGAGGTGTTGCAAGCCGTTCCTGCTGTCTCCAACCTTCCTGTTCGTGTACATGCAGGAGGCTTGGAGTTTCGAGATGTCCACTACGCGTATGCCCACAACACCGTCCTTGCAGGGGCTTCCCTGGTGCTTTCGGCAAGTCTTCTGCAGCACTGACAGCTTCAGATTCAGCTCCATGAAGGTAGCCAAGGTCACCCGCCTCCGTAGTGGTATAAGCAGTAGTAGTAGTAGCAGCAGCA